GAAAGAAAAAGAAAAGAAATGGTCGTATCTTGAATGCTCTCATGGGTGCCTCATGGGTTTGAGATGGAGCTAGTGCATCTCATATGCATTGTATTCGCCTCCCAACAGCCTACCTAGTACATATGCACACTCGATGCATCGGTAGTTTTCATTTTAAAACCCGACTTCCGATGGACGTATTAATGGATCCTTTTTTCCTCCGATGATTGAGCGCCATATAATATGGAAGACCAAGTAAACAGATCCAAGTCCCTTTTAGAAATGAAAGTAAACCCATCTGTCATGTGTACTACTTGTCCCCTGTTCATCATTTTTGTAGGTCAACTTGGTCACGGGATTCCCAAACACAATGGACCACATGTGTACATGTGAACCAGAGATCCTTTGTTTGAGACCATGAGAGCGTTCAAGATAGATGCATATGGTGTTGAACAACACTTCATGGCACGTGGGGTGTCTAGTTTTTCGGTTTAATGTTGCTCAAATCGCAATCACTCCATGCATAACGTACAAAGTGAAAAATTGCACACTAATGTTGTAATAAGTTTCACATTCTTACGACCAACTAATCAAGGTATTGAATGGTTTTCTCAGAGGCGATGAGCCAGCCAGGCGAATAAGAAACCCTAGGAGGTCCGTATCTAGGAGGCCTGCTGTGGAGGCCTTGGAGAGTTGTTGTGGGATAGCGAAGGTGATGTATGCTCGAGCAGCCGCTGTCGTCAGGCAGTGCACACCAATCGCATTGGTGAAGTCAGTGGTCGCCGGAGGGATCCACCGTGGAGATCTTCATTGATGGCCCGACTTTTGTGGATCATCAAACAAGAGGACATTGGTGCACGGTTCTGGACGGCAACAAGCTCACATCAAATCCGGGCCCGTCTTATAGCGGCATGTGTGATTTTTTACAAGCTTAGATTAGGAAATCTTCATGTTTGGTATGGGGCGTCAAAGCGCTGGCGTTGCTCCAGGGTAGGAATAATGTTCTCCCCGTCCTAGGGTAGGAATAATGTTCTCCTTCTATCCCACTAAAGTTGGTGTGTTTTTCGCTGGTGGAGGGCGTGTGGAGTTGTGTCTGGCGGGTCTTTCGAGATCCGATCTATTTAGGTTTCCAGTGGATTTGTCTGGATTCGGCCGACTTTCATAGTCTTCATGTTCTTTAGAGTTTCTATAGGCATTTGTCGACATTCTTTTCTCCAAGGCGGCGATTTGATTTGCAGATCGTGGTCACCGGCGTCTCCTAGTCTGCATTGACGACTACCCACCCACTGCGTTTATAAGCTCCTCGGTTTCAAAAGGTTTGCTCTGCCCGAGCGAAGGCCTACAGGCGGAATCGAGCTATGCTCGCGGTTCACCGCCTATGGATGTAGTAGGAAGAAGACTTCACCACACTCAATAGTTTGAATGTATATCTGTTTTTCTGTAAGGGTGTGTTTGTAAGGATCTATGATCTTAATATATGGCCCTAGTCCTTTTTGTACACAAAAAAGTTTCACATGCTTCACTTGCGCTTCTTAGATAGAATCTGACTAAGGATTTCCCTTTTTATATCACAATTCCTTGTGTTTTTGTTACATTAAAAATGCCACCATAAGATTTGCATTGGTGCCCTAAATCAAAACAACAGCGTCTGAAACTTCAGAAATTTTCACATTAATTAACCAACATGAAAAAAACATTCATACCCCTTATTTAATGAGGTAGTAAAATTATAATAGTTTAAAGATGCACAACACTTAAAAAGACAATTCCCCCAACCGTTCCTCTTTGATCCCTAAGGGTGTGTTTGGTTCAGGAACGAAGTGGAATGGAATGGAATGGAATGGTTCCATTCCACTGGAGTGGGTTGGTTCCGTTTCTATGTTCGGTAGGGACCGTTAGGTGGAACGGAATGCTTACATTCCAATGTTTGGTAAGGGTAATGGAACAAAATGAATTTGGTTAGAAATGGTGAAATTATCTCTCCGAATTGGCTCATATAAATAGAACAATATTTGTTATCAATAAATTATTTGAATTATCAGCAAAAATTCAACTGTATTATAGTTTAGAAAATTTATAAATTTAGTCACTATACATAAGAAATAATTTCCATTACCGTGCACCCTTCATAGTTCAGACTCTCGCATGTATCAACAATTCAGAGTTCAGACTCCCGCATGGCCGCATGCACTAATAATTCAGAGTTCATACTCGACATTACAACACACGCATTTGCTAATTGCAATTTACAATCGGTAGCAATTTGTTCCCTCTTTGTTTACTAGCAAAAGAAGATGAAGCTCTCGAACGGCATGACGTACAACACCAGGACAGTGGCGTCGCAGATCGATTGGGAGAGAAGAGGAGGTGGCCAACGGCGTCACAGATCGAGGGGGAGGCGGCGCTGAGATTGGGGGTGAGTGAGAGTCGGGGAAAGGGGTGAGACTGTTGCGTTCTGCGTCGTCCGGCCAATTCGAAGGAACGACCAGGTTCGGCATATCGACCGAATATGCCGTTCCAGGAACGAGTGGGTTCCGGTACCTCGGGTCAACCATACACGAGAATGGTACTTCGGGATGGAACCGACCCGTGCCGTTCCACTTGGTGACTGAAACTAAACACACCCTAAGAGAGGTCATCTCTAGGCGCACTCTTGCTCGCGTTGCTCCAGGAGGCGACACGGGCGATTCAGATCTCAGACGCCGCCGCCCCGCTCCCTCCACCTCCGTCCCATGCCGCCGCTGGAGGAAGCCACCGGGCTAAGCCTGCGTGGCTGACGGTGGTGGCGGGCCTCCATCTCCTCACGTGGCGGGTGGCGGCGAGGGCCTTTCATCCCCATGCGACGGGATCTCCGGTCGTTGTAGATCGGCGGCCCTGGATGTCGAGGTGCACGCGGCGGAGAGGGACGCCGGGGCGGCGGCCTCGGTCTTCTTCAGCAACCATGGCGACCGTTGTGACCGCGAGGGCAGCACGGCGGCCTGCTGTTGGGAGCCAGCGGGCGAAGGCGTGGGGCCATCGTTCTGCCTAATAAAGGCGGCGGTCCTAGGGGTTCTCTCACGTCAATACAAAGATCTGCTTGATGCTTGTCCTCCTTGATCTGGCCGGAGTGTCAAGTTTCGGAAGGCTCCACTGGCGAACTCCCATGGGCGCCTCATGCCTGGAGATTGCTAGATCAGATGGGATTCGGTCGTGTGCACCCAAGTTTTTTCCGACCATTTGGTTTCGGGAGGGAGCGGCGTGAAGCTCTGCTACTTGTTTCCATCATGGGACATATCTTTTTCGTTCCTTGATGAAGCCAGAGGCAGAAAATATCCTGGAAGCTGTGATCTGAGGACTAGTAAAGGTGGTCCGAGTCTTTGCGGTGACAAGGAATTTGCTTGGTGTTTCGGGACTCGTAGCAGCGGCATGCAAGTGGGGGCGACAACACAGGAGAAGTTCAAGGTCTTACCTTTCAGGATGAAAATTCAAGGTCTGTCCTTAATAGGTTTTGAGAGCGTGGACTTTCTTCAAGGTGAAAACATATGATCTATGATCGGGCAACAACGGCGCTTGTGGACTGTTTCCTTCATGGAGGCGTCAGTTTGGAGAATTTGGACTTCAGGTGTTGTCTTGGTGGTGTTTGTACTGTTGCTTCAAGGACTAGATCACTGTAGCGGGACTTTTCTTTTTTAGCTTCTTCTTATTTATTTTTTAGTTGTGTGCATCCGTAGTGCCAGTATGGTATTGCGTTGTTGCAGAGGCTGGGTGTAACTAGTATCTCCGCGATATCAATAAATTTCCTTTATCGAAAAAATCTCTAGGCGCACCGTGCCGCCACCTCTCCTCCGCCAGTAGGTCACTGACCCCCTCCTCCTCCACAGGCTCTACCGGCGTGGGAGTGCAAGGAGGCCTTGATCTTCCAAATCGAGTTGTAGCTTTCCCTGATTTGTGGGTTTTAGGTAGGATTCCATTGTCTGTCATTTAGGCCCCTTTCGAAAGCGGCGCTTAGTAAAGTCTTTTCTGACGGCGACGCCAATCTAGCAAATAATGAGGTCCCATCGAGGGTCCCCATCTCGATAGTGTCATCTATGGTGGCATCAATGGCTCGATGGCATATTTCCCAACCAATCATTCTGGCTGGTGAGATTATGCTCTGTAGGTTTTGTCTCCATCACTTCGATGCGGCGCCCGGTGCTAGCTTGTGCTCCATGAGAAATAATGGAGGTTTGACTCTTTGATATGTTGCTCTTTCAAGAGTGACGAGGTTTCTTCAAGGGGCACTACCTTTGATGACCTCCCGTCCGCGATTAACAACGACGGGCTAGCATTGGCGTGCCATCAACATGTTCGGATTGGCTGTATGCATCCATCGGTGCAGAGGCCGGAGGTAATCCACCCTTTCAAAAAAAATTCAACCTGTTTGGAAGGATGTAGACGGTGAAGCCGCATGGATTTTGATGTAATTTTATCTTTTCCAGGAGTGTTTGTACTTGCTGGTTTGGTTAATAGATCTGAGTGTGTTTTTTTTTTGAAAAATAGTACAACACACTTGTTTTGGTGGGACAAAAAAATACCAAAGTGTAAGTTGATTTAATTTTCTTACCTATGTCTAACTTGATTCAGAAAAATAAACTCACACTTTCACCTAGTAGCACTTGTTACTGGACTGACTTAGACATAGGAAAAATCTCAAGCGGTTTCTGATTAAGAGAAGTGATATAGAAAGAAAAAAAGATAGGAGACAGCTTTTTTTTTGGAAATGGAGGCGTACCCCGGTCTCTGCATCATAATGATGCATGCAGCCATATTATTAAGAAGTCACAAAGTATCACCAAGTCGTCTTACAGCTCTCAAGTGGAGCGAAAAATAAAAGTAAAGAAAAGTTCATGCTAACAATCACAACCGGAATGGCAATAAGAAGGATAAGCTCTCTAGACTCCTATCATATTATGCGACCGTCATCCGAACCGATTGAATATAGCCCGTACGACCATCTCTCACTGGTTGCACCCAACAACCAAAGGCTCCCTAGATTCTATAGGAGTGAGTAAGGACCACGTACGGATCCATAGGAATGAGATAGGAGACAGCTGTTGGAGAATCTTATAAGAATCACTTTAATAACAAAGATACTCGGGCAGAGGCTACCCAACTTGTTACTCGGAACGCAATAACCGGATCTGGGTGGTTTGTTTTTGGTTATGTAAGCATATGCATACACTCGGATCCTCCCATTCTTCTTGTAGTACCACATAGCTCCTGAGCTCTCTCCTCCTACCTAGCAATTCCGTGTGCTTCTGTGTTGTAGCTTTGCTGCCATAAGCCGAATCGAGCTCACTCACAGGTATGCATTTATTCATTGGCGCGTGTACTATTATTTCTCCAAGCTGTATATATATACTGTGACATATTCATTTTCAAATAGATATGTATATGCTGGAGCACCGATGATGCAGTATTTGCTACAACACATTCATACATACATTGCAGGATGGGTGAAGCTGGAGCACCGATGATGCAGTATTTGCTGGAACTGTGGAATGAGTGGGAGATCCAAGTTGTTGTTGTTCTCAGCTTCAGTCTGCAGGTTATCCTCTTCTTCTTCGCTGGGATCCGCAGCTACAGTGTCTCGTCTGTTGTCAAGGCCCTCCTCTGGTTGGTGTATCTGCTTGCTGATGTCGTTGCGACATACGCTCTGGGGCACATTTCCTCGTCCTTGTCGAAGAAATCGTCCGGCCAGAATCAGCTGGTGGCGTTCTGGGCGCCGTTCCTCCTGCTGCACCTCGGCGGCCAGGATACCATCACCGCTTATGCCCTGGAGGACAATGAACTCTGGCGGCGCCACCTGTTAAATATGTTGGTGCAGGTCGCCGGCACTGCGTATGTGCTCTACAAGTACATCAATTCAGGGGAGGCGACCTTTGTCCGCGCCGCTATGTAGATTCTTGCTGCCGGAGTTTTCAAGTATGGCGAGAGGATATGGGCGCTGAAGCTTGCAAGCAAGGGTCATACCCCAAGGCGACGTACGCCTTTTCTCGTGGAGATTTATGACATTTTTCTTTATTATTATTCAAAAAAAGCAAAGAGAAGAATTCTCCAATACGGTGGAGACTGCTTCACCAAAAACAAACAGTTTAGAGCATATGCATTTATTGTGTTCAGAGCACACGCGTTGCGCCATCAACTTGTCAAGCCTTTAATCATAGACAGGAATGAGGCGTCCATACGCTGGAGTTACAAAGAAATTAATCTCACAAAGTATCTTACAGAAGGATTTCGAGAGCAAGACGGCGAGGGTGAAGATGCAGCAGCAAAGGAGAAGAGCACTATTGAGCTGCTGTACAAGGGAGTGGAGTTGCAGCTCGGCCTGATGTACGACATGCTATACACAAAGGCAGAAGTGATCCACAGAAGCCGTGGCCACTGGATCCGTGCCATTTCACTTGTGTGTTGCTTCGCTGCTCTCGTGGTCTTCACAAAAAGCAAGAGAGATGGATACAGCACACCCGACATTGTTATCACTTTTGCTCTTCTGGGCGGAGCATGCGCACTGGAGGTCGCATCTTTTTTCAAGGCGATTGGGTCGACCTGGACATATTTCGTCTTGAGACGCTACAGATTGTACTGGTTGGCCAATGCAATTCTGTTCGCACGTTACCTCGTCGTCATCAAGGATGGAAGGTGGTCTGATTCTGTCGGGCAATTTAACTTGATATCCTTCTGTGTTCAGAGAAGAAAGAGTGGCCTGAAGGGAAGTATAGCCCGTCTGATTGGGCTCCGGGACGTGTGGAACAAAGCTCGCTGCACCAAACATCCCAAGCTTTCTCATGCGGTGAAGAAGTTTGTATGGGGCATGCTCAGAGGTGGCAAGAGTGATATGGTACAAATTGAAGATGTGGCCATCCAGAGTGGGTACTGGGCTCGCAGATTCAGTGGCTTTGCCCAGAGCGAACAGCTCGATTGGAGCATGAGTTGTGAATTTCAGAAGAGTGTGCTTATTTGGCATATCGCCACAAGCACCTTCCTCAATCACCGTGACGTCAAACCAGAGCTGGTCGACAAGGTTGAAGCAGTTAATACTCTCAATACTCTCTCTGATTACATGATGTATCTCCTCGTCGAGCACCCTAACATTCTGCCTTCCAAAGCTGATGCTCGTAGCCTGTATCACCATACCTGCAAGATATTGACTGAATTTATGAATCATGATCCAAGTGTGGATGAGGTTTACCAGACAATTCTGGGTTACGAGGAAGAAAGGGGTCTTAATGAGCAACCATTCACATATGATTCCGCTGATGCCGCGGGCAAAGTTGTGCTGGGGAAAGCAAATACACTTGTTGGGTTATTGCTCGACCTGAAGTTGGGGGCCTTGGGGGTCACATATAAGATGGTAATAATTGGAAAGGTGTGGACGGAGATGTTGTGCTACGCAGCAACCAATGCATCTGATGGATTCCATGCCAGGCAGCTGAGCAACGGTGGCGAGTTTCTGACCCACATCCTGCTCCTCATCAAATATGCTCTTGCTGCTGCTAAAGCAGCTGAGGAAGAGGCTAGTGCTGTGGGCCATGTCGAGCAGACCGTGCACCATTGCTGCGTTACCGAGAAAACTGTGGAGGCTAAAGCAGCTAAGGAAATTGTGGAGGCTAGTCCTGTGGGCCTGGTTTAGCGTGTCAACTCAACAGTCTGCAACGAACCCAGTATTTATAATTCCATTCTCCTTGTTTGCGTTGAATTTGTAAGACAACTCTATTTCGATTTCAGTCCTATTGCCGCTGCTGAAGCATGTATTCTGAGCATCTCTTTTCCCAATTTGTAAGTCACACCAAAATTATCAGTATGATACTGATTCAGATTTTCAGTAGCCGTGTCATGTGTGAAGTAAGTAGTTCAATAGCTCTAATGGTTATATTGCTTTCATACTGTGTCCGTGTAAAGTCCCTTGTAATATTAAGATCTCTCCTGTGGCTGTATGCAGAGTGATTAACTCTGACTCTTCGTTGGGATGCATTAAACTGCTTTGCGGTCGAAACATGCCGCATTCCGTAGTTCGCCCCCATGTACCAAACCATTCATCTCCATTTCTAGGCAATGTTAATCACCTTCGCCAGCCAAAGAAAGCACATCTCGCATCCTGAAGATAACAAGCGCTGCCGCAACCGCCCCGCGGGACCGAAGTGCAGAACGAGCCACCACCACCACCTTCCAACAGGAATGTCGCCGCGGACGCCGCAGGCCAGAAAAACCGGCCCAGCTCGGCATCTCAACCCCACCGACGAACGCAGCGAAGGCCGACGCCGAGATCCAACTGGCAGGATCCAGGGAACCAGATCCGCGAGATCAAAAAGCCTCAAGCCCCTCAGCGGCGCCGAAGACGACGACGGATGGACGAAGAAGGATCCAAGGCCACTTTATTCCAAGCGCCGCCGCCCTCTCCGCCATGACGGCTGCACCACGGACACCAAACCTAGACCAGTCAAGACTATGTACACCGCCCGGTAGGAGAACCGGGGTTCCCCACCTCTCCGGCAGCCAGAGCGGCCATCGGAGAAGAGGAGGACCACTGGTCTCGCCGGCAGGAACTGGAGATCGCCTGAAGGTCGCCCTCTCTGTACTGTTGGGGAGAAAAGAGGGGACAGTTCCAGAGAGCTCCTCCTTTTCCTTTTTTTTTTTTGTTGTTGAGGTAAACTGGTAAAGGCACACCTTTTTCCTTTTTTTAGGGAAAGCACACCTTTTTCCTTATTTGAGCGAGTCGATGGAGAAAGCCCAGCATATTTCTGTCTGACGTCAACACCACCCATTGACTGACAGGTCAGCCCGGCCCGAGCCTACCACGAGTCCACCCAACGAATTTCTCCAGTGAACTGAGCAGCACGCCCGCGGCCTCGTCGTCTCCGGTGGTGGCGGAGGCCGGGGCCGCCTTTCTTCTCCCGCGCGGGGGGCAGCGCCACGGTGGGCTGGCCGCGGGCGCGGCGGGAGGGGCTGGACGTGACGGCCTTGTCGCGCCCGGGGAGCTGGCCGCCTCTACCCGCACCGTCGCCGATGGGATCGCGCCGCCTCATCGCCCTCCAATCGCGGCCGCCTACACAACTCACCGCCACTCCACCGGTGCTAGCCGCGTGATCTCGGCACATCCCCGTGCCCTCGCAGGCATGGCCGCGCAGTCGCCCGCCCGCAACCAGCCCATCGCACACCCGCCTGTGCCACGCTCCTGTTGGGATTGGTCAGTGCGGCAATGCCTGCGTCATTTTCACTGGCCCTCCGGTGGCCGTCTCTACCCAGGCTCTCCTTTGGTGTGACAAACATCTTCTCCACTCCAATATTGTTCCGGCGCCGTGCGGTTATTTCATCATTTTTATACATCAGAATGTGTGGAGGGAAATTGTTCACTTTGCATCTATATATGAACTGTTTATAAATTGCTATTATGTCCGTTAGCAGGACCTAAATTTGTGCCTTTTGTGATTTCAGGCCGCTTTCCATGCCACACTGCCAAACTGCTTCGACTTGATACCCGAATCAACGTCGTGTGAAATTCTAAACATGGAGTCCTGAAACGTGGTCATTTTATAACGATGATGATGGGGAATCAGGTATAGTTACACAACAAGTTCTCAATCTTATTCATTATTCAGTTTTATTTTCTTTTACACATCAGGATAATGATTGAGCATTCCTCACTCATTGTCCCTTAAATTTGACCCTCAGATTCTTCAACCTGTAGGCATTAAATTCAAGACCGCAGGAGTGTCTCCATGTGGAACAGTTATTCAGCTACGCTAGATTGATAAGGTGCATTTTTTCAGAGACAAGTTAGAAGAATACCTAAGTCCTTCTGGGGTCGAGGTTTCAATCATAGATTGGTTCAAGGGAGGGATGCTGATGCAATGGTCATATCTACGGTAAGACCTACAGAGTAAAAGTAAAAGATCTCACCCTGCTTTTCATCTGCTCAAATTTAATCTGGCAAAAGAAAATTTGTACTACCATATTCCTATACTAAAGAGAGAAAGTAGTATATTCTTGAGTTCCCGACATTAAAAAGTGAAGTGAGTGGTCGTACATCGACTGCAAACTGATCTTGCTACATTTGGGTGTAGCGCAATGGATTCTGCTTTCTGTGGTTATATTCAATAGATACCATACTTCAAATCATTCTGCTTATTTTGGTTCTTACATTAGCACAATTCTGATTTTGGTTCTTGAACGCTCTCATTGGCTCATGGGAGCTAGTACAGGTCATATACATCATATTCCAGTCCCAACAGTCCATAATCAAGTTGATCAAGTTGCCGCTAGAAAACAATGGAGTACATTCGTCTTTTTCATAACTAGCAAAGTGGCCCTCTCTTCGCGCGGGCTAGTATTTAATATTATTTGGTTGCAATAAGTTCATATTTACTAATTCTTTGGGCTGGTTGTGATGGTAATTTTAAGGATATAAGAGTTACCCCTTTAATGTTTCTGGGAAACATCTGGAGGCTATGTTGTTGCTGAACTATTTTAGTGGTATGTGCTTGAATCCACGGGTTTGCCTAATGCGGCCGTAGTGATGTGTACATGGTGTGTGCCTGGCTTGACAATCCCGTTGTGGCGTATTGAAGTTTCATATTTTTAGTATATAATATTTTCCCAAGAAGTATCATATGCATAATATGGGTAATTTTGTAACGGTTATATCTTTTGTTCATATTCCCATTAATTATATGTTTGCATGGATTTATTTTTTAAAAAGTTTGCATCACCAAAACTTACAAAATTTATGCTAAAAATACGTATATGCACTATACTTTTTTCTCTAGATGATGTACATTAATCATAGGTGTTTTTTATAGTTCATAGCTGATTATTTGTGTTGTTTGTAGTAAAATAATTTTTCACGTGAATGGTTAGTTGAGCTTTTAGCTCAACATGCTCACGTAGATTTACACAACGTTCAGGCATCTGTCACACTCCACATCTTCACACAAAGGCTGGTCTTGCCTCATCCCCATTGCCCATCCCTCCTTTCCTTCCTTTCTGCGTTGACTCCTGGGTTGCTGCTGGTGACTGATATCCAGCTACTCATAGAGCAAAGACACCATCCGTTTCTCCATTGACTCCCAAATTGATGTCGTCAGATGATCTCTAGCTAT